TTGTATTATTATTATTATTATTATTATTATTATTATTATTATTATTATTATTATTATTATTATTATTATTATTATTATTATTATTATTATTATTATTATTATTATTATTATTATTATTATTATTATTATTATTATTATTATTATTATTATTATTATTATTATTATTATTATTATTATTATTATTATTATTATTATTATTATTATTATTATTATTATTATTATTATTATCGGTTATAAACACAACGCACCACACAAAACATTACATTACATAGCAAATTCCGATAATGCATGTGAAAAAATTAACAAGACCAAAAGTCTACCATTTGCAAGAGCCTAAAAGGGATAATGTCATTAGGGGTAATAGGAAGGTACCAAGACGTTGAAGGCAGGACACTCGGTGGTGAAGAGCAGTGGCCCGCCAACACTGCAAGTCGCACCAGACAACAAGCGGCTCCGGATACCATCTTATTATGTCCGCCAACTAAGATGGTATCCGAAGCCACCATTTATGCAGAATATGAAACAAAATTTAGCCCTGAACGTCCTTCTCTGCTTGCGAATCCAGGTGAACGAAAAGTCAAAAGGAATCCAAATGATGCCATGAAGTTGTGTTTGGAAACCAATTTCATCCAAACTCACTATTTGAACAGGCGTCTTTTTGACGTATCGACAGAGCTGCAATTTCAACACGAGTGAGAAATGAAGAAGTCTTTCTATTTAGGGAAACAAAACCTCTCAATAACCGAGCCAGCTCTCCAAAAATGAACGAAACTGCTGAGTCGAATGGAGTGGAGCGTTTTTTTGTCTGATAATTTTTACGGCCTGCTTACTTTCCTCTTAGCGTTAGGTAGCGTTGTCTCGTTGTGATGATTCAGTTTGTTGATGGGGATATTTCGCCTTGATAAACAGTACTTTTTACACTTTGGACTCAAGAATGAAGGTGAAGCTCTGCACTCAAGCCAGGTAGACTCACGTTAAAGGCAAAGTTTGGGGTCAGACCCATTTCACGAGCCTTTACAGTGGCTAGAAGCGCTAGGTACGCAAGTGCAGAGGTCGCGTTACTTCCCTACTCGAAAAGCGTTACTTAGACGCTAGGCGCTAAGAACTTTGACACGCTCCACCTGTTGACACGCTCCGCCCACCGCTCGATATCTTGTCTGCGTCGCAATGTTGATCTGCTATGCTCTCTCTACTCGGACTTCTCTACCGCTCTCCGCGCTCACATTATCTCTCATCTCCCTGCCGGCCTTTTGAACTTCTCCGCAGCGTAGAGCAAAAGGCTCGTATTTCCTGTGTATTTCACGATTTTTTTTCCTTTTTTCTCCACTGGCGATCTATTTTACATTTGAGTGGAATTACTTCATCAATTTCATCCTGAGATTAAGCTTCAAGAAAGATTCAATTTCCGAGTACAACTTTATACAACTGTTTGGTTTACTTTAGTTCGTATCCTGCTAAAGAATTGTTTGCTCCAAGTAAACTTCTTCCCAAATTTCGCTCAGTCTGACCGCTTTACAGCACTTTCATGATGTCGCGACTTTACCTTTATTCTGATTCCGATGACGATTTCCTCTTTGCTTTTACATGAAGAGGAAGCGTATAACATTGAATAAATCCATCTGAGCAAAAATGAAAAGCAAACAGAAAATATGGGGTTGATGTGCAATTTTGCAAAATAAGCTTGAGCAAATTTTTTGAAAAATTACAGAGAAAATTGTTTATATGCCAATGCAGAATTTAGCATGGTACGCGAATACCTAACGTTGATATCTAGAACATTTTCCAATTGGAGACTCATTCAAATACATATTTGAAGATAAGTTTTTCTGAGCCCACAGAATTGCAAGTTATGTGAAGCGGTTTACATAGGAGAGCAGATTGCTTACTATATTTGCAGAGATTTGCATGGAGAACTGACAATATATTGCCGCGAGAAAGAAGTGATGTGTGCTTCATAGAAACTAAGAGGCACTACCCGTTGGCAATTATGGCGATGTACGCACGATCTCACTCGAAAAATGTGAGCAAGAATTTTTTCCCTGCATCTTCTCTTCTTCTGAGTGGAGGTTGCGCACTGGCAGGGTATGGTGACCTGGTAAAAGTTGCTACCTTTTCTTACACAATACAACTGGGAGAATTCCTTCCCGGGAAAATCATGATACTATCACGCACAATTCACTGGCTTGACTCCTATCGTCCACGCTAAGAATGAGAAGAACAAAAACGTTGTCGATAATCTGACGAACCGCTACACGTTTAAATTCCTGCCGAACATCTGCCACAAATGCGGCGGCGAGAACGCTTCCGCTTGATCCATCGAGTGTCACTATAAACTCTTTTGACCTTTTGACTTATTGCCTATTATCTCACACTTCTACTGCATCATATTCTATCAATATCTCTATTCTCCAAAATCGAACGCTTTAACCCGATTCTTTCATTGCGTCGCCTGATACGTAGCCGCCCCAAGGCCACTTCTTTCCATGCCCCGCCTTTGGCTCCGCCCGAATTACCTTCGATTGTCCATAGAGTGTGGTTTTTGTACGTTTGTTTCTCTTCGGAAACCGAATCTTCGTGCGTGAAATCTTTTTGTGTTGCAGTGCGTGGACCTCATCACAACATACACGTTCGTTTTGAGAGAATGCAGGCATTTTTTGAGAGAATTCCATAACCCTTTCGGCCCTGATTTCTTTCGTGGAATTTTTTTCTTGTTATTGTTTAGCAGTATAGCTCTGCACGCTGCCGCGCGCATTGGGTTTCAAAGGCTTCGGTCGAAGGTTTCGCGCAAAACGAACCAGTCGTGTGAGCGTAGCTTCCACCGACGAAAAATCGGTTTCCTCGAGAAATGCATCAACTGACTGTCCGCTTGATGAAGCGTTCAGAGTTGACGATCGCACGTACGATTAGGCGATTAATCTATGACGAAAAATGTGCGTGTAGATTGGGCGATTAGGCGAGTAGGCGAGTAGGCGATCAGGCGGGGAGCACCACGTACGTATTGATCGGTTCGCTCTGCCCAAAGAACGTTGTAGGCGAGTAGGCGATTAGGCGATTAGGCTTTAGGCGATCGCTCCGATGGCGGAGCATCAAATCAATGCATATCCTTCTCTTATCGCCTACTCGCCTACTCGCCTAATCGACTACTCGCCTAATCGCCTAATCGCCTAATCGCCCACTCGCCTAATCGCCTAATCGATACGTATGCTTTTCTTTTTGAATCATCGCCTAATCGCCTAATCGCCTAATCGCACGCACGATCGCCAACTATGAACGCTCCATAATACGCGCGATGGAATACGGAGCTAAAATGTTGTTTGTTAACAACCATATGCATCGAATGTCAAAATAATTTCGCGGTCGAATAATCATTGAAGCTGAATGATGTTGAAATGGAATACCGCTAGTCATTCATTATCATGTTTCTTCAAACATCCATCGGACATTTTTTGGAACTCGGGGGAGTGTAGCGGCA